AAATGTGCAGACTGCTGAGAAAAAATCAAGACCTAAATAAATGGAAACTTATGCCATTTTCATGGATAGGAAGACAATATTATTAGGATGTCAGTTTTCTACAAATGAGTCTATAGATTCCATGTAATCTTTATCAAAATGATAATGAGCTTTTTTGCAAAGATTGATAAGCCAATTAAAAAGATCTTTGGGAAGGCAAAAGACCTAGAATAGCCTGAAAGAGAATAAAATCATAAAACTTACATTACCAGATTTCGACACGTACTATGAAGCTACGTTAATAAGGCAGCGTGGTTTTGGTGCAAGGACAGACAAACAGATCAGTGGAACAGAACAGAGAGTCCAGAAATAAACACACATTTAAACAATCACTTGGTCGTCAACAAGGCACTCAAATAATTCAATGGAGGGAAAAAAGGTCTTTTTAGCACTGGTGCAATTGGATATCCAAATGAAAAACAATGAACCTTGACTCCTACCCAACCAATAGTAAAATTTTTAAAGTGGTAAATTGGACTTCTTCAAAATTAAAAACTGATTATGATAAATACTCCTTTAAGAAAATAAGAAGGCATGTCACAGATTGGGAGAAAACATTTGCAATGCATAAATCTGACAGAGGTCTCCCACAAAAAATATATATCTTACAAATTAATAAGAAAAAGCACAAAACCCAATTTAAAAGTGGGCACAAGTCTTAAACAGGAGCTTCACAAAAGGAGATGTCCATGTGACAAACATGAAAAGGGGCTCAACTTTATTTAGTCAACAGAAATTGCAAATTAAACAGTAAAGAAAAGTACTACGCACACCCTTGAAGGAGTAAAGTGAAAATGGCGGACAGTGTAAACGTCGGCGAGGTGATGGGGCAACTGGAACTCATTCGCTGCTGCTAAGATGCGAGCGGCTTCCTCCGCGTGGGTTCGGCACATCTGTTTGTTGCATCTACTAAAGTCTGACATATATCCATCCCTGGGTATATGCTCCAGAGAAATGAAAACCTGTGTTCACATGAGTTCTACGAGAACGCTCACAGCATCCTCTTTCATCATAGCTCAGAGCTGGAGACAACCCAGATGTCCATCAACAGGGGAATGGACAAACTGTGGTATATTTATCTAATGGAATATTATTTAGCAATAAACGGGAACAACATACAGCTACACTTAGCGACATGGATGAGCCTCACAGACATAATGGATGGAAGAGGACAGACACAAATGAGTGCCTCTTGTAAGATTCCGTTATAGGAAATTCTAGAACAGGCAAAACCAACCTCTGCTGAGAGAAGTCAGAAGAATGGTTAGCTCTAGGGGCTGGGTAATCGACTTGGAGGGGACGCAAGGGGACTTTGGAGTGATGGAAACGTTGGTGTACACATAGGTAAAAATGCATTGAGCTAGACATTAGATTGACCTATTTTACTGCATGTAAATTACATTTTAATAAAACAAGAAAAAAATCCATTATAATGTGGCCGTGAACTCAGTGCTTCCATCATAGCACTGACCCAAGTGTGAGGTCATCCATCCACACGTGTGGTCATATGTTAGTGCCACAGCTCTGGCAGAGCGGAGCCCACACTGCCGTATTCAATCTGTATTCCCAGTGCCTGGCACGCAGCGGGCTCTCGGTATATATCTGCTTAGTACGCGAATGAGCACTGGGTCAAAACCGAGCTCTGTGCAAGGTGTCATGGGGGCGCTGAGGAGGGAGCCTGTGAACTCTGGCCAGGGCGTAGGGGAGCTTCTCAGAGGAGAAGGGGACATTTGAGTCACACCGTGAAGTCCTTTGGAGACTTTTCTCAGGCCGGGTAAATGAGGAAGTGCAGGTAGGCAGAGGAAGCTGCTCGTGCAAAGGCCCGGAGGCAGGGAGAGCAGCTTGTTGTACTGTGGTGGTAGGAGCTTCGGCTGCTGGTGGTAGACGGAGGGGAGGGTAGAAAGGTAGGCAGGGCCTTATTTGCCGACCTGAAGAGTTTGGTCTTTAGTCTGTGGGAGTCATGGGAGGTTTTGAGAGAAGCCAGTCGCAAAACTGGATCTGCGTTTTAGAAAGATCCCTGGGTTTGCAGACTGGACCCCGGCAGAAGGGCTAGGAGTTCTTCGCGAACGTAGGAAAGCGAAGCTCCCTCAGGCTCTTGCCCAGACCGGGGACAGGCCACCAACCCTGAGCCTGCCTTGGGCACTCAGGTGAAACCGCGGGGGTCTGCCCTGCCAAGCCCTGGCCTGCTGGGCTGGTGGAGCAGCGCCACCTACTGGCACCCCCTGCTCCTGGACTTGGCAGACCACCTGGTTCCTCTCGGTCCCAAAGTGGGACAGGCCAGCCCCATGGCCCACAGATGAGGGGCAGAAAGAGACCTTCTCTGGGGGTCGAGCTCTCCCTCCGGTTCGGAGGCCTCAGATCAGTACTTTGTGCAGACGTAGGAAGGAAAAAATATTCCCTCGTCCTTAACAGACACAAACTAGCATTTTTAGGCTGTGCCGCTTCTGCCTGGGTTTGGATCCTAGTTCCACTATTTTCTAGCAGTGTGACCTTGAGAAAGTTACTGAACCTCTCTGTGCTTCGGTTTCCTCATCTGTAAATTAGGAATAGTCATAGTACCCACCTGTTAGGGTGGTTGTGCGTCAGCAAATATAAAACACTCAGAATGTGACTGGCGCGTGGTGAGCGCTCGGGCCAAGCTCCTAATCTATCTATTATTGTTTTTATCATCGTCGTCATTCAAGGTATGGACTGCAGAATGACCGGTGCATTTGAGGGCTCACGGGCTGGAGGCTGAGGGGTGGCCTGCGACACAGGGGGCCATGTCAGCTGAAGAAGGGCCAGTGCTCGTGACCAAGCAGCTCGGACTGTCTCCTGACCCCAGTGGGCACAGCCGAAGGGCGGGGGCTGGCAGGAAGGAGGGCACATCTGCGTTGTGCCGACCCAGCATCTGTGCCTCCACTTCTGCTCTCAGCGCCTTGAACATGCGCCCTCCCAGGGAGCCTCGCCCCTCCGCCCCGCCCCCACATCCTGTCTCCAGGGGGTCCTCAGCAGGCAGACCAGGAAACAGGCTCAGGGAGGTTGAATAATGTGCACAAGTCGTCCACACCATGAGTTCGGGGTGAAGCCCCCGCAGCCCGGGAGTCCGTCTGCCCCAGGGTGCTGAGGTGACAGGAGGGACCCCTTGGGATGCACAGATTCAAGCAACAAACGCTTTCCTGCCGGCATGTGGCCCCGGCTAGATTCCAGAGCTTTCCTGCTTTCTCTCCACTGGAGCAACGATCTCATTTCAGAAATTAGTTTTAAACCGGGCATCTTTTACGCAAATTAAAACTTCTCTCCTCTCCCAGCCTGACCTGCTTCAGTTGAGTGTGTGAGTGTGAAAGTGTGTGAGTGTGTGTTTATTCTGCAGTCTCTTTGTACTCCTTGCACCCAGGTTCATCAATCCACTTATGTCCCACCGAGCCCCTTGCTGTAAGGAGTGGCGATGGTGACACTGTTCCTCTGTCACCTCCCCACCCCCCGTTGGCCTACATCACTGGCTCCCTTGGGGCATCTGATGTCCAAAGGCCTGGGCTCGCCCTCCAGCTCCCAGCTGTGGGCACCTCTCCGTACAGACTCTCACTCCTCTCTCAAAGGTGCCAGCCGCTGGCAGCGCACACAGTGCTGTCATACCCCCTTTAGATTCCAGGGGCAAGCTGGTTTGCTGGAATGCTTATGAAACACGAGTGAGAAGATTTTTTTAAGAGAAAAAATTAGTGTAACAGGGTTTTTCACATTTAGTGCTGTATTTCTGAAATTCGAGACGTGACTTGTGTGTTTTCCTGTCCACGATGCATCTCAGAACGTCACGCCCACTGCTACCAATTAATTCATGATTTTTCCGTTCACCGGTTAAATTGCTTGGTGTCAGCAGATTCAAATTTTGTGAAGTCATACAGTTTTGTTTTCAACAGGAAGTCGTGCCAACTCCATCAAGCGGCAGGGTTGTAATGATGCCTGTAAAGCGAATAGTAAAAGCCCAATTTATCCCCCTTGTGAAATTGGGCCATGTATTTTATATTCACTATTTTTGCAGTTTCACAAAATAGTAAAAAGTTATTTGTAAGAAAAATTTCGAAACCGTAGGAGCGTGAGATTTGACCACGGAACCCACAGCAGTGTGCAAGAGCTTTCGATGGCCGCGAGGGCCCCACTGCTGGGCTTCGAGTTCTCCTTGCAGCGTCTCTCTCGGCCGCCGGGCTGCGAGTGTCTCGAGGATGGGCACTCAGTGTTGTCAATCTGTGACCACCGTGCAGGAGAGCATGTAGTCGGCGCTCAATAAATATTCATTAGATGAATCAACAAAAAGTAATAACGATTGGGAAGGAAGTTGGAGTCCAGTGACTTGCGAGTGGCTGGAGTTTGTACAGGTTCTAACGATGTTTTTCTTTTCCTTGTTCGTTATCTTGGTCAACGTCTCAGTCGGCTCGGGCTGCTGTAACAAAATATCCCACACTGGGTGGCTTCAACAGTAGAAATTTATTTTCTCAGATGGCCGCCTTCTCGCTGTGTCCTCCAGTGGCCCTTCCTCAGTGCGTGCGTGTGAGCGACGTCTCTCTCTTCCTCTTCTTATAAGGCCACCAGTCCCATTGGATTAGGGCCCCACCCTGACGACCTCAGTTAACCTTAACTCCCTCCTAAAGACCCATGTCTAGATAGTCACACTGTGGCAGGGGTAGGGCATCAACACATGGATTCTGGGGGACACGATTCAGTCCATAACAGTCGGTGTGGAGGACATTTACCCCTTAGGTGGCCACGTTTGGACGCTTGCAGGAAGGCAGAGCTGGAAGGAACTTAAGAATTCACCTGGCACAGAGATGAGTGGTCACTTGCCCGGGACCACACAGCTGCCCGCCACAGAGTCAAGGCGATGGGTGGCTCCCGGAGCCCTGGGCTGGGCTGTCCTGCAGGGCTGGAGTCTGGGGCGGCCGGGCGGGCGCTCACACTGTCCTGTCCTGACGCTGCCCTTGTGTTAGTTACAGGACTCTGATCAGACCCACATACAGAGTGTCCTACCGCACCGTGACGGCGCTGGAGTGGAGGTGCTGCCCTGGCTTCACCGGGAGCAACTGTGACGAGGGTGAGTCTGCAGGGGTGTGGGGGGCAGGGGACAGGGCGTGGCCCAGCCGGGCTGTGGAGTTCTGGGTGCTCCTCCCTCCTCTGCCCTCCTCCTGGGAGCGGGTCTCCATTCCTCCACATTCCTTCCTTCCTGTTCCCAAGCGCCTCTGAACCAGACGCTCTGGACCCTCCAAACTGGGGTGAGGCTGCCACCTGCACCAGGGCGTCGAGGTGGGGTCCCTGTGTGCACCGCTTGGGTGGGGGGTGGAGGAGAATCACGAGCCCTGGCTTGGGGGGGAGCGTTCGACCTACAGTCTGTTTCTTCTGCCCTGGCTCCCACTCACGCAGGGCCTGGGGCAGAGAGAGCTGGGTGTCCGGGCTCTGAGCAGATGCATACGAGGGCCCACCAGCCTTGAAGGCTGTTGTAGCTTGAGGCAGACAGACCTGGTGGCAGGCCACGGCAGGAAGGCCTGGCCCACTGCCCCTGCCCTCTGCCCAGCTGGTGCCCAGAGGGAGGATGAGAGGTCGGGGTCGGGCTCAGCCTGGCTGCGGAGCCCGATGGGGCCGGACAGCAGCGCTCACGTGGAAGTCAGGGCTGGCCCACAGCAAATCCCTGCCACCGTCACTGCCAGGGAAGGCGGGTCCTGCCCACCCAAGAGGCTTGCAGCCCGCCTCAATCCGCGGAACAGCTGGTCAGTCCCGAGGCTCAGGGGTCACTGTCGTATTTGGAAACAGTAGCTCTCCTCAACCTGACTTTCTGACAAAATCGTTCTCTCTTATCTTTTTTTTATTACCCAGCATGTATTTTTGTCATATATATATATATATATATATATGCATATACATAGACCTATATATATGTTAGGTTATAATAAAGTTATAATAAGTTATAACATAAGTATATGCTTTGATTGTGAACTGCCTAAAATGCTTTGGGTTACAAATAATAGCATAACAACAGAAATAGCAGTAATAATAATGATGGTGGTGATGTTTTGACCAGCCGGCGGCCCAAAGCTGAGCTGCAGGACGGGGTTGGGATGTGAAAGTGTCGGAGGTGGCGTCCTTCCTCCTGATCCTGGGAGGGCCGCTGGGCAGCCTCCGCAGCTGGGCCACACCTGGGGGCACAGACTGCCCTGGGCCTTTGCTCGGGGAGGAGCAGGAGGGAGCTCAGGGGCGGGGGGTGAGGAGAGGCCGTGCTACCCTGGGTGGAGGCGTGGGTGGCAGGACCCTGCACTCTGTGCTGAATGACCACAGCTCGCGCCAGGTCCCTCAGTGAGGTCAGAGGCCCTCGAAGCCAGGACGTGGGCCTGCCTTTCGGGTCAGTGCCATGGCCGCGGGGAGAGACACCTGGTCCCCCTGACAGACAGGAGTGGCCCTGCTGGCTAGACTCTGCGGGGCTTCTCGCAAATCGATTGATGACCCTTGAGTAACCGACTGAGCGCTTTTCAATGATCAATAAAATGAGTAACGTTGGCTCCACCCAACGAGGTGCCGGTTTACCATCGAGCCCTCATCGTTAGAAGCCTTCCCTCGGCATTAAGAAGGCTTCTGGGCCCTTCTCTCAGCCCGCAGAGCCTCTGAGCACCCCCACACCCCATCGTCGCCTCAGCTGACTATAACCTGTGTCTCCTGTCTACCTCCCAGCCGCCCCTCCCCACCCAGCGGGACTGTCTGGTTCTTCCCAGGTGACTGGGTCAGGCCTGAGTGGGGCCCCTTCCTCCTTCTCCTGGAAACCACTGAGGTGCTTGAGCTTGTCTAGTTTGTATCTCTCTTCACGTTCTCTTTATTGAAGAAAGGCGTGAACTCCTAGATGAAGTCTAGGTCTCAGAATGTCTAAGTCCTCATTCTCCCACGAGGAGCTGGTGAGCGTGTTTTACAGAACACGTTTCACAAGGGAAGCAGCAGACTGGCAACGCTGTTCAAAGGAGGGTTAGAGCAACTGACAGAGATGCAGACCAGGGGCCCCAAGACCACCCCTGGGTTTGGTAATTCACCAGAACTCACAGAACCCGAAAGCTGCTGTGCCCACGCTGATGGTTTATTACGGTGAAAGGATGCAGATTAAAATCAGCCAAGGGCAACGAGGCATGGGCAGAGTCCAGGAGGGCGCCACACGCACAGCATCCGGTGGTCCCCGTCCAGTGGAGGGGTGCACATGCTTAATTTCTCCCAGCTACAACACGCGACCATCTGCACGGAGTATTGCCCACCAGGGAAGGCCCCCAGAGTTCTTGGTGGGATTGGTGGTGTGTACATGATGGATGCGTGTGGCTGAGCTGTTCCTGGTGCTCTGGTGGTGGAGCTGGCATCACCTGGTCCAGGGATGTCCTTATAAATGACATTGTCGGTGCAGACCGTCTGGGTGGCCCAGGGCTCCCCGGTCAACAAAGACCCTCATTCCAAGGGCTCAGGAGCCAAGTGCAAACAGCAAACCTCTCTGAGGCGGAGGGTGATCCTTTACTGATATATATACATATACAATGTGAGTATATACATATATCATGTGAGATAGATTTCATATATGCGAACTATACGAAATATATGTGAAATAAGAAATATATTTTGTATATATATGAAATAAGAACCTGAAGTAAGATCATTCAATTAGATCCCACAGGACAGTAAAACAAAGCCTTTGGGGTTCTCCTCTCCCCCGAGCAGAAGGCATTTGCATCTTCCCAGTTTTCCAGAACCTGCGCTGTCATCCGTGGTCCACGGTAACTAAACAAAGCGACCTTCTCCCCGGGGGTCGGAGGCACTGAGGCAGCCTCATTCCAGAGTGCTCTAGCATGATGTTACCAGGCCGGGCCATCGCCTTGTTGCCATTTTTCCAGGGTTTGGATAATTCTTCTTGTGGGCCCAGTGAACCAAGCACAGGAGGCTGGCGGACCATTGGGAGCGATTCCTGCCATCCAGGAGGTTCTGCCCATTGGGGCAGGTGAGGGTTCGGCAGGGCTGTGGGCCCACCCTTCTTGGGTGAAAAGACGGGGTGACTATGAACTGGTCAGATGCCCCCCAAAGGTGCCCACCCTTGAGAGCTTGGCCCCTCACCTCCAAAAGGAAGCTCTTATCTGATAAACCACGTACCTGGCGATGACCAATACACTCACCAGAAGCATCTGAGCCTCCTGGGCTGGTTATTAAGAGTTGCTGGCACCTCTTGAGACACTCTCAGCCTCAGAGCGTCTGCCAGCCCCTCCCTGGTGGAGGAACCTTCTGCACTTGCCCATCTGGACCAGCCGTGTATCCATCTCAGGGCGAGGGCAAGGCTAGCCTCTTTCAGAGAGCCTCAGGGTCGAGTGGCCCCTTCCCGCTGGGAGCACGAGGGTCCTGAAAACCCTGAGGGGCTGAGGATTCCTGGGAGCCTGAGGGCCTGGGCTGAGTTTGGGGCCGGCTCCTGAAAGCCCTTGTAAAGATTTTACATCCCCAAATACGCAACAGTAAAGACAGAAGGCGAAATCAGAGCCATGTCTGTGACTTTAGGCACATTCCTAAGCTGGTTCCCCCTCAGTCCCCGTGGTGGCCCCTCTGCAAAGGATGCAGGTCCGAGGCCCCCTCCTCGGTGGGTTTGCTGTGGTTCGGATCTTGTTCCCCGGGGAAGCGTCTTTTTCTTTGGCTGTGACTGGTCTTCCTTCCAAGTGTTCAGATCCCTCCGGTCTTGCGACTTGGGACTGTGACTACCTAGGGGCAGGTGGCCTCTCTCAGGTCCTCCTTCCCATCACCCCCCTCCTTCCTCCCTCCCTGGATGCCCAGGAGGGCAGGGCCAAGACTGCGGGAGGGACCTTCCTTCCTAGACATGTCTACAGACAGTCAAGGCTAATTAGTTGAGAATTCGGTGTTTGTGAATCTGCCTATTTGCCAAAATTTATTTGTAACCCCCAAATCAATGCTCGTGGCACTTGCGTGATCATTCAAGATGCGTGCAGAACAGCACAAACTTTGAGTCACCCGCCGTGCGTGCTCCCAGCTGAGGTCAAACAGGGCGACGCTCTGCCTCGTTTCACCTCTCAGACTGCAAACAAGTGTCCTCTTCATGGTCTGTTTGGTGCCATGCTTTTTGCATTATCGTGCTTTTTTGTGATCTCATTGTTTAAAATGTCTCCAAGCGTAGTGCTGTGTAGTGTTCTGAAGCGTCAGAAGGCTATGATGTGCGTTATGGAGAGAATACGTGTGTGAAATGAGCTTCGTTCAGACGTTGGTTACAGTGCTGTTGGCTGTGAGTTCAACGTCACGGAATCAACAAGGTGCCTTTAAGCAGAAGCACACGTGAAACAAAGCTACGCATTGATCAGTTGATGAAAACATCGTGACCAGACGCTCGGGGGAACCTAGTCCTGTCTTTCTCCCAGGAGCAACGGCTTGGTATTCGCTATTTCAGGGTTTCCTGTGACTTCATAGAACAGAACTGCTGTGAATCATGAGAATTAACTGTGTCTGTGTATCTATGTCTATAACTATTATGTATGTATCTAGGAATAATTTTTTCTTATTACAAAAACAAGTACGTGTTCAGTGTAGAAACAGTGACAGTACGCAGAATTCCACCGCTCAAGGTGACCTTGACTCTCACTTCGGTGGAGGGCTTCCAGCCCTTCTGTGCTTACACCTCAGTGGTACTGTACGTGCTGTTGGATAACTTCATTGTCACCGACATCTCTCCTTGTGAACAGATAGTGTTCTGTAGTATCATTTTTAGTGGCTGTGGAATTTGGGTGCACACTTTATAAACTAAACCCCTACTACAAGATATTTCAGTTGCTTCCAATTTGTAAATCATTAATAACATTGCTGTACGTGTCTTTTTTTCTCACTCAGGTAAAATTTACATACACCAAAATGCGCTGATCTTAAGCGTACAATTTAATGAGTTTTGATAAATGCATACACGTGTTATCACCTCCTAGCAAGTTCCCACCCCTTAGCAACCACTGCCTGCTCTCTCGCATCATGGATCAGTTTTACCTATTCTGGAGCTTCGTATAAATGGAGCCGTATAGTGTATACTCTTTTGAGTATGGT